AAGAAATGTATGTTTGACTATTAGGAAAGTGACAAACCATTTGCCAAAGTGGTTAAACCATTTTACATTTGTACTAGCAACATAGAAGAGTTTGGGTTACCAACATTTAGTGTTGTACGAGTCTTTTTAAATTTTAGTCACTCTTGTGGATGTTGTATTTATATCCTTCTGTGGTTTTAATTTATTTTTGCCTAATGACTAATGATGTCAAACACTTTTCATATTATTATTATCCATTCATTTATTTTATTTGTGAAATGTTTGTTCAGATTTGGGCAGTTCAAGTCTTGGACCTGGAGACTTTTTCTCACTTTCCCTTTTTCTCTCTCTCTGTCTCTCTCTGGTCAAATTAAAAAATAATAACAACAAATGGAATTAAATAAATAATTCTTTTTTAAAATGTCGACAACCATATTAACAGTATAATAAGTTTTCTTTTTAAGTTCTATGATTTGTGTTCTACACATTTAAAAACATTATTCTGATCAAGTTTCATCAGAATCATAGTTGGCAAAAGAGGCCCCTGGCATATAAAAGGTTAATATAATAATCTGTGACCAATATCATGTAGTTGTGGCATTCGCCCTCCACCTGGTGGCAGCATACTCCTTAAAGGTTAAATCTATAATCAACAGTTGAGAAGAAACTTTAAAAATAATAGTATACTTGAGTATGAGTTTCAAATATTTTTGATCACAGTAAGAAATAGCTTTCCATTATAGCTCAGTACACACATATTTGTATTTCACAAAATAGTTCTTGACTTTACCATATGACTCAGTGATTAGTTTTATTGCATTTGAATAGTCTCTTGGATTCTCCTTCATTAAAAATACAGTGCTAGTTGCAACACACTGAACTGCAGTTTCGTGGGTCACAGTGCACCATTTGACATCTTATGAATCTGTCTTCCATCATGCTTCACAGTTTGTTACCCAGTGAATTTCATTTTGGTCTCTCTAACAGTACCTACACATTTTCAGGGACATATCTACATTCTAATTAACTGCCAACAAATATGAGTGTTTTACACAGCATTTACTTAGTTAATAAAAATACTTTATTATTAGTGATGCATAATTTAGATGGAGTGAAGAGAACTCATCTTAAGTGTATACCTAAGATATTCTAACATAAAGTATTCCCATCATAATACCAAGTTCCCTTGTGTAAGCTCTCAACATGTTCCCCTCTGGACAATTACTTTTATAATTTCTTTCCTCATCCTTGGCTTTCCTGTTTTAGAATTATTTTATCAATGGAATCATACAGTTTGTATTCTTTGGTCTAGTTTCTTTTTGGTTAATCTAATATTTTGAAGATTAATCCCCATGGGTGAATAACATTCCATTGCACAACTATACCACAGTTTGTTTATTCTCCTATTGATAGGCTTTTGGATTGTCTTCAGTTTTGGTCATTATGAATAAAACTTCCATTAACATTTCCATACAAGTTTTCTTGTGCATATAAGGGGGAACTCATGTAGTTGGTGGGAAAATGGAATTAAAGAAGGAGCTTATTTAGGTACAAAAATTTTGAAATCCATTCATACATTTTTTGTGATATGTGTTTTCCATGAACTTTTTTTTTTTCTTTTAGTAGAGAGATTTTTTTCTCTCTCTCTGTGGTGTGTGCACTCATCGGAGAGACAAAAAGAAATTGAGAGACAAAGAGAGAAAACACCACTCTCCCCCCCCCACATTAACACCCTCCTGTTCTGTCCATTCTCCTCTTGGGGCTTTGGACATGCATGCACATGCACCCAGCATAAGTTTTAAGTGGCCAGGTCCAGGACTCGAACTGCTGTCAACTATGTGGGAGTCCAGTGACGTACCCATTACGCCATCTGCTGGTCCCTTCTATTATTTTTATTTATTTATTTATTTATTTTTTGAAGACCCTGGATATACCTCATCTCCCTTGAGTAAATATCTGAGGTGGAATTGTTAGTTTCGTTGGTAAAGAAATGTATGTTTGACTATTAGGAAAGTGACAAACCATTTGCCAAAGTGGTTAAACCATTTTACATTTGTACTAGCAACATAGAAGAGTTTGGGTTACCAACATTTAGTGTTGTACGAGTCTTTTTAAATTTTAGTCACTCTTGTGGATGTTGTATTTATATCCTTCTGTGGTTTTAATTTATTTTTGCCTAATGACTAATGATGTCAAACACTTTTCATATTATTATTATCCATTCATTTATTTTATTTGTGAAATGTTTGTTCAGATTTGGTTTGTTTAGTTTTTTGATATTGTTATGTAGAAAGAAATTTTTAGGTACCAGTTCTTTATATCAGAAATATATATGTATGGGAACCAGCAATTAGTGTAATGGCTATGTCGTTGAACTCTTTTGTAGCTGACCGCAGTTCGAGTCCCAGAACAGATGGTTTAAACTCATGCCGGGCTCTTATGTGTGCATGTGTGCCCAAGATCCCGAAAGGAGAAAGGAGGAGAAGGGATTGCGGTGTGGCCATCCCCCCTGGGGGTTGATTTCTCACTTCCTATCTCTCTGTCTCTGTCTTTCTGGCAAGCATACGTGCCCTATAGCAAAAACCTCTCAAAAAAAAATATATATATATGAATATTTTTTAGCAATCTGTGACATACACATTTATTTTATAATGGTGTTCTTTAATGACCAAGGTTTTTCATTTTACAATTAGTTATTTAATATTTAGTGCTTTCTGGATACTGAGAAATCTTTTTCTACCCCAAAGGTTAGGAAGGTAGCTTTGACTTTTATGTTTAGCTCTCTGTTTGTGTATGGTTTGAGGTACTGGTTAAGTTTTATTTTCTTCCCATGTTTATATATGATGTTCTAATATCATTTGTTGAAACTGTTATACTTTCCTTTCACCATTAAATTAAAGCACAAAATGTTTAGCCAAAATGGTGCAAAATTGAGTTTCCGTGTGTGCCATAATCACGCAAACTGAGCCTCTTTTTCTCTTAGATCATCCCCAAACTTCAGTCTTGGTCTTCTATTCCTTTCCAGATTAATTTGTCTATAGTTGTATTGTGATTCTCATATATCACTGATAAGGTGTGAGCATTTGTAAGTATACAACTGTTCACAGGGTTTAGAGCTGTGCTGTCCAGTATAGCCACATGTGGATATTTAAATTAAATTAAATTTAAAAATCAGTTTCTCAGACATAATAACCCCTTTTTGTAAAAAAAATTATCCAGGTACCAGCAGTTAGCATAATGGCTATGTCACTGAACTCCCACATAGTCGACCACAGTTCGAGTCCCGGATCCAGTGGCTTAAACTCATGCCAGGCGTGTGTGCGTGTGTGCCCAAGATCCCGAGAGGAGAAAGGAGGAGAAGGGATTGTGGCGTGACCATCCCCCCTGGGAGGTGATTTCTTGCTTTCTGTCTCTCTCTCTCTGTCTTTCTTGCGAGCACACACTCCCTATAGCAAAAACCTCTCAAAAAAAAAAAAAAATCCATTCATTTTTTTCCAGGCAAGAGAGGGAGAAACCCCCATCAGGGTCCCTGTGCCACAGTCAGCCCCCAGTCTCAGCCAGCTTAGATCACAGACACACAAGTGACATGCCCAGGGAGGGCCTAAGACACAAACTCAGGACCTTTTGCAAGAGGAACCAGTTGCTTTACTGCTGCACCACTGCCTGTTGCCCATGATTGCCACATTTTGAGTGTTCACTAGCAACAGATGGCTATTGGCTATCCTGTTGAACTGTGTAGATATAGAATAATTCAATATTTAGCCTTTTCATTTTTTATTTTTATTTGATTATTTACTTAACATCGATTCACTGAACATCATCACAGCGTACAATATATGATTTCCCATCCAGAATACACTGTATAGTGGCTTCATCATACATGTTATCTTCAACAAAAAACTTTCCATTTCTTGTTATATATATACATATATATATGTGTGTGTGTGTGTGTGTGTGTGTGTGTGTGTGTGTGTGTGTATGCATTTTCCCCCTATTTCTCACCCTCTAACATTTTTAATTATCTCTCTTTAATTGCCAGAGGGCACGTGTATTCTCCAGAGAAAAACAGAGAAAGGACTACTCAGTGGGGTCATGGTCACACCACAATCCTTTTTCCTCCATTTCTCCATGCTGTTGAGATTTGGGGCACACATACACATGCACCCAGCATGTTTTTCCAAGCTTCTCAGCTGACATTCAAACCACAGATGATCATGTGGGATCTGACTTTTTATACACAGCACTTAACCTCTGGGCTATGGGGCTAACCTTCAATTTATTACAAAAAAAAAAAGAAAAGAAAAAAAAAAGCTGGATAGTGCTAGCCTATAGAATATGAATGAAGGCAGGCTTTGTACCATTTTATAGCATATTGCCATAACATTTTCTGTAGTTTAGATAACTAGCACACAGAAAGTACCTTCTTCTTCTTGGTTCTTTACTCATTTTTTCCATGCTTCTCTTTCTATTCCAAGACGTACTATCCCAGCTAATTCTTTTGTCCATCTATAAATGCAGTTGCTTGTATTGGGTTTTTGGAAAAGTCACAACATGTTTTTTCTGTGTTTTTCTATGCAAAATATGTCATGACTATTTTGACAACCCAGTATCTATTCTTTGCTACTTAGAAGAAATAAATCTCCTGGCTTTGCAGGGGCTTATTCTTTTCTGGAGTCTTGCTAGTACTGGCTCATTTAACTTCTCTTGATCTTTGGTGGTCCTCCAACTGTGACTGGGATGCCTGGGTATCCCTCTTCAGGGTGTGGCCCAGAGGTAGATATTTTGTCTTTTTCACCCTGATTAAGATTGTTTTTCCCCCTAGGATTTGCACTATACATTTTAAACTTGTGGAAAATAGTAGGGTATGACCTGTGGCTCTGTCCCATAGTAAGATTTTGTCCAGTAGTGAACTCTGTTGCTAATTCATCATGAGCAACCAGATAGGAATTTGTGAGATTTTCTCTCATTGTTTGCTGGGCGTGAGCCACACAGACACTCACTCTGCCATTAATGTCTTTCAGCGTGGGAATTTTGCCGTCCTGGTGGATCTTCACATCTTGTCACAAGGTTCAAACAAAGATACCAGCTGGTTTTCTGAACAGAAGAAAGAGGTACAACAAAACGTTTAACTTTCTAAATGCAAGTAGCTGCTGCTGCTAGAAGAAAGCTCTTTCCAGCTTTCATTTTCATTCATGGGGAAAAAAAATATATTGTGTAATATTTAACCCTTGCAAAACAGTAATCATATTCCCAGTGACAGACAGACATAGACTTTTCAGAACCAGTGCATCCATACACTTCATATGCTACCATATTATTTAAAACAGAAATTTCCTACCCTTTTGTTGGGAAAAAGGGGTTCTCTATACTGAAAAGAGAAGAAGAGTTGTTCAAATACTATTTGAAAGCAGGGATTTTCATCTGACTGGTTATAAAGGGCAGACTGAACACCTGGAGCAGGTGTGGAGGTTAACACAGGCTGATCGTTCACACCTGTCTTAAATCCTCTTCTTTTATCTTCTACCATCCTTTTATTGTCATGAGCCTTTGCCAAGTGAGGAGCCTCTGTCCCTTCTTTTGTGTTTGTCAGTCAGTAAAGCGAATAGTTTTACTTAGATGTGTGATGTGTGACCTCCCTGAGCCTCATCCTTCTCATTGACAAGTGAAGGAGTCTGAACCAGAGGCTGGCTAAACCTACTCCTGATTCTAAATTTCAGCAGTCCCACTCAAGTGCAGCTGTGATGGAGGGGTAGAAGATGCAGTTGGAGGACCAGCAGGTGGTGCGGTGGTTACAGCACTGGACTCCCACATGGTCAACTGCAATTCAAGTCCTAGACCTGGTTGCTTGAAGCTCACATAGGGCGCATATGTATACATGCCCAGGATCCATAGGGGAGAATGGAGGAGAGGGGATTGTTGAGTGGCTGTCTGCCCTGGGGTTGGGGGTGGGGGGAGTGGCATTTCTCGCTTTGTCTCTCTGTCTTTCTCTGGCGAGCGCATGCACCCTATTACAAAGATCTCTCTCAAAAAAAAAAAAGAAAATATGTTTGGTTCTCATTCGATACTTTGCTTCTTTCTCTAGACCCCCCGCATACAGAGACAGAGCCAGGGCAGCCATGTGGTGTCTTACACAACCTTTAGAATATCATAGTACTTTGTTTCCTTCTCATATTTATTTGTCACAACTGATTTTTAGGATAAGAAATAAAGATAAATTTTATTCAGAGTCAGTACGCAGGGGATTTTAAAACATTTGTGGACAAATAGAATTAAAGTAAGCTTATTATGGTGCCAAAAAAAAATTGAAATCCATATGTAGGTTTTCATAACACCCATATTGCATGAAATTTTTTCACAAAATTTGTTTCCTAAGAGAAAGTAAGACAGACAAACACCTACAATAGGGTCCTCAGCCAGCCTCAGTCTTGGGCATGCTCATGTGTACCTCATATGCTTAGGGATGTCCTGGGATGAGAACCCAGGACCTTTTCAAGGTGGGTCCAGTTATGCCACTGCTACACCAATACCTGGCTTTCCCATTAACCTTTTGAAGATCTCCTTTTATGGAAAGGGGACTGAAAATATATTTTCAGTCAAAAGGTAATATTGTCAGGACTTTGCTATCATTATTTTGCAAAGGATACCTGGTGATTCGAAGCTCAGAGAAGGTAGGTAAGGGTTGGTGTGATGGGCTTTATCATTTATGTAGATAGCCATGAGCCACCCTCTTCAGGACTCAATGTGTAATAGGCCAGCATCTGTTGCTCTCCTTCATGTACTGTCAAGCTTTTGCTTACAAACACATCTAACATGATTTGAGGCAGTTCATTCATTTCCTAAAGTGATTAATATTCACCTCAAGGGATCTCACCCAAAAAGTCTCTGACCTGACTTACATTCGCCATGTTCTAGAACCAAAAGTTTTAGTCTCAGATCTTCCTCCATTCTTTCTCTGCTCTACTACTTCAGATTAGACCTTTCTTGTTGATATCTAGGCAGTTTTTTCTAAGAGCCAATTGACTTGGAATGCATTAAAATAAAGCTATGGGTGTGGTTCTAGCCAAAGCATGAGGCTACACTTTTTCAGGATGCCACCTGCAGCTGGGTTGTTCCACGTAGTCCCCACTTCAGGGCACTGGGGCATGACTTAGCAAAGCTGTCGTGCACGACAGGACCTGCAGAGCATGGCTACGCTGGCAGCTGCAAGAGGGCCAGTCATGCCAGCAACTGAGCTTTCCTCTCAAAGTGAAGTAGGTGATCTGCTGCTTCTGTTTTTAAGTTGTTCCATGAAAATATATTCATTACATTAAGGTTGTTCCAGGATAATTTGTGTGTGTGTGTGGTGTATGTGTGTGTGTGTGTGTGTGTGTGTGTGTGTGTAATGTGTGTGTATGTGTATATGTAAATACATGTATGTAAGCATAGAAAAGGAGAAAAGCAAAGCTGGTGGAGGAAAGGATATGACTTTGGCCTATGTTCAGTGTCTGAATGCTTTCATCTTTGTTTATCATGAAATCATTTCATGATTGGGATTTCGTAAGCAACCCATTTGATTACATTTTAGCATTCACTTTATGTAATGAAAACCTAAGAATATCCCATTCCTTTTTAGAAAAATGGAGCTAATTGCATATGTTGAACATATGTTTATTTTTAATTTTATGATTATTTCATTATATATATTTTTTAGGTTTTTGCCATGGGGCATGTGTGCTCACCAAAGAGAAAGAGAGAGACAGAGAAAGGGAAATTGATAAATTATCACTTAAGTAGGATGGCCATGCCATAATCCCTTCATTCCATTCTCCTCTCGGGATTTTGGGCATGTACGCACAGGAGCCTGGCATGATCTCCATGCTACCAGGTCTGGAACTTGAACTGTGTGGTCAGCCATGTGGCAGTCTAGCACTTTTTCCACTGCACCAGCTGCTGGCCCCTATTATTATTATTTTTTATTGCCAGAGGGCACATGCACTAACCAGAGAGAGACAGAAAGAGTGAGGAAGTACACCATAATGGGGTGTGCTCACATTGTAATTCCTTCTCCTCCATTGCTCCATCCAATCAGGCTTTAGGGCACGCATACGCAGGTGCAGTGTGTTTTTCAAGCTGTTAGGGCCGAGACTTAAACAGCTGGTCATATAGGCTCCAGTTCCTTTAACTACTGGGCTACAGGGCCAGCCTGAAAATACATTTTTATTTTTGAGTCCGGCATGAGTAGCCATTGCATCAAACAATTAGACACGAACTATTCCATTTGTAAACTGGAGGAAGCAACCATAAACCCCCATTAGCTAGAGATGTCGTATATGTCTTGCTACTCATTGTTGATTTTAACTTGGTCTCAAGTGTGTTTGGGGGTTTTTCTTGGATTACACTGGTTCTGAAGAGAATGCTTTACTCAGGGTTGTGTGGTCAGTTTCTAGGGTATTTTGACCACATCGCACATGGCCTACCTTGTATTCATCAACCCTGACTCCCAGAAGGAAAGCCCCGTAACTATAGGGAGAAAGTTTATGTGTATGGGCCTTTGCTTTATTTTTGTCATACTATTTTTAGTTCTAGCCTTATAGGGCATTTATGGCCAAATTTTAACAACCCTTGTTTCCATGTATGTCTTTCACATATTTTCTAGCTCAGTCATAGTTGAACCCTGCATGTGAAGCAAAATTCTTTAATTGTTAAAACAACAGTATGAGGCAGGGCTGCCTTTCTGTTATGTGCACAATGCCAAAACACTCAACTGGAAATGGATATTACTGTATTCCATAAGGCCATGCATCTCTGGCTGTAAAATAAAAAGCAGGAAAAAAGAGACTACTATATTTTATCTAGAAAAATATGTGTGAGTTAAATCAAGAGTTTTCCATACTATTTGAAGAGTGCAAGTATTTACAGTAAAAGAAAAATTTTACCATCATTGTTCTTTAAAGCAAAGAAAAACTTTATTTTCATTTTAATTTATGAAGATTCTAAGTGATGAACCTGAGACAGCAATGGCCAGAAACCAGTGAAACATGACAACACTCTATTGAAGTCATGGGGGGAATGCCCCTTGTAGACTGGGCTATGGTTTACCTTCCCCAGGCCCTCTGCACACACATTGTAGGACTGTGTCCGTCCTCCTGGCTCCTTCCCTGGACTATAGGGGCCCTTACCAATGTGGGCTCTCTTTGACTTCTGTCTTCTGTTCGCCACCATACAACAACTGATTGGTATATTAAAACAAAAGCATTTTTTACCTTACTGATGTTATCACTCTTTCTCTCAGGGCTGTTTACATTGGAGTTAGCATTTTTATCTTCCCTTTGTAAATGTGAAACTGAGGCAGAGAGAAATGAAATGAATTTTCCAGATCCCAGAGCGAGCCAACCTCATGGTTTTGAGAAAACCACAGTAGCAAATTCAAATCTGCGGTGTTATCCATGAGTACATATGACATTCCTTTCAACATTCATAGCTAAATTAAAAAGCAAACAAAACAAAATGTTCAATGTGGACATTTTAGCATCATGTATTATGCTAACTATTTTTGCATTGCATTAAATTAGAAAGTTATGTCCAATTTTTTATTTACTTTAGGAAGTCTGTTTACTGTTAAAAGAAACCATAGATTCAAGAGTTAAAGAGTACTTGGAAGTTCGTAAACAGCACAAACCGTCGAATGCAGAATTCACAAGATCCAATCCCTTGACCTTAAAAGGTAAGCAGTGAACACTTTGATTTTGGACAAAGAAAATAAATTTTCTGCTTTGTAGATATGGCAATTATGTTTGACCCCAACTGTCATGTTAATACAATGTTCACTTGAAAACTGTGTTCTAATGAAAATACTTTGTTTGGGTAAAGAAACTTAACCAAAAAGCCCTGGAAGGCTTTTAGTGGCAGGCAAATATATAAAAATAGCAAATAAAACATTCCTAAGGAAACTTTAAATTCTTTAAAGGATTTTTTAAAATAGTCTTACAAATGGATTTACATTAATGCCAACTTAAATTGATTTGGTGCTTTGTACTGTTTAAAATGTTTTTATGTATGTCACCCTATTTTAGAGATTCTTAAATTGTCTCCAGGGGATATTTGGAACTGCAGACAGTTCTAGTTGTCATAACTGGTAAGGGATGGGGAGGCACTGGTACCTAGTGAATAGGGTCCAGGGATACCACATATTCTCCAATGCCCAAGGCAGCCTCCTCTCTCAGACAAGGAATAATCAGGCCCAGTATGTGAAAGGCGAAGCGGTTGAGATGTCTGTTTCCTGATAACAAGGTGGCATGGTAGTATCTTTATTATCTTGCCCAAATAAATGATCATCTTCTTGAGGACTGAGACTGTCTTGCTTATTTAGTATCTTTCCTCTTATCTTTTGCCACCTCCTTAACACAGTGCCTGACCTACAGTTTCAGTGACATGTTAAATGAAGGAATACTTGAGTGATCAGTGACAGGACCTGAACCCAGACTGAGTGCTTCTGTCTTGCAACTCAGAGTTTATACTCTGTCCATGTTGGTTTTTCATTTGTTTGTTTGTTTTTAATAAAATTTCATAGCATTGTTTAGGATACAAAAATAGTCAGCTGGGGTTAATGCTCAGAGGATAGTGGCTGGACTGGTTTGAATCAGATTATGCTAATACACCTCTCTAGAAAAAACATTGGTTTAAGTAGCCCCTCTGAAGCCATCCTTGATCTGAAGTTTTCACTCTCATGAAGATAATACCTATGCAGGTAGAGTAATGTTACTCAAACTGAAAGCCTTGAATGAATGAATGTTCAGTCCAAACAATATTGTATAGGTATATGTGCATTTTTTTCTTTTTAGAGGAAAATTTTTGCTATAGAGCACATGCACTTGCCAGAGAGACAGAAAGAAAGTGAGAGATCAGCCCCTGGGGGATGGCCACACTGTAATCCCTTCTCCATTCTCCTGGGGCACACATACATACACACCTGGTATGAGTTTTAATCCACTGGATCTGGGACTCTAACCATGGTCAGCAACATAACCATTATACCATCTGCTGGTCCCAGGAATCTCATTCCTTTTTTTTAATTTTATTTTTTTTCTTTTTTTTTAAATTTCATTTTCTTTTATACATTCAATCACGTTATTATTTGCCTTACAAAATAGGTATTTCAACAGGTGAACATTTCTTCCTAGTACAGTTGATAAAACTACAAAATATCTTCAACAGATAATACCACATTTCTTTGTGCCATTAATGCTTTGCCTTCCTATTTTTCTTCTAAATGTCCTTCCTCAGACCCTCCTCTTTCACATGCACTATATATCTATATACTGTATTTCTATATCCTTTAGTCAGTTAGTTTCAGTCACTGAGTACGGACACTTGGTATATATTAAGTGGGGACATATACATTCAATCACTATACATCATTTTGATTGTAAAGAGACTTAACCCAGCATGATATACACTCAGTTCAGCCTAGTCGAGCATACTGTACACATAATCATCAACAGGTAATAAACCATATCTATGTCCCACACATGTCTTACCTCTCTATTTTTTCCCCCAAATTTCCTTTCCTCTGCTCTTCCCCTCTCACACTCTCCTTCCCTTTTGTCTCTAGTGTCCTTAACCATTTTCAATGCTTTTATGTCCTCCAGTCTTTCAGTCTCTACCATAGAGTGTGGACAGTCAGTATATGTTAAGTGGAGACATATAGTGTCTCTCTTTCATAGCCTGACTTGCTTCACTCAGCAAAAAATCTTCCATATTCATCTACTTTCTATCAAATGCCAGGGCCTTATTGTTTTTTATGGCTGAATAGTATTCCATGGAGTATATGTGCCACACTTTTTCAATCCATTCATCTGTTTGTGGACATTTGGGTTGGTTCCATGTCTTAGCAATTGTGAATAATGCTGCAATAAATATAGTTGTGTAAGCACGTTTCTGACTGAGCATTCTCCTGTCCTTTGGGTAGATATCCAGGAGTGGAATTGCTGGATCATATGGTAGTTCTATTTTGAGGTCTTTGAGGAATCTCCATATTGTTCTTCATAGCAGCTGGAAAAATTTACATTCCCACCATCAGTGTAGGAGAGTTTCCCTTTCACCCTATCCCCTCCAGCACTTATCATTGTTTGGTTTTTTTAATCATCGCCATTCTGACTGGGGTTAGATAGTATCTCATTGTGGTTTTGATCTGCATCTCCCTTATGATGAGGGATGTCAAGCACTTCTTCGTATGCTTTTTGGCTTTTCTTCTATCTTCCTTAGAGAGATGTTTATTCAACTCATTTTCCCATGTTTTAATTGGTTTAATCATTTTCTTCCATGTAAACCAGTCGAGTTCCCTGTGTATTCTGATTATCAGTCCCTCATCTGAGGCATAGTTAACAAAAATTCTCTCCCATCCTGAGGGTTGTCAGTTCACCCTGCCTACTGTGTCCTTTGCTGTGCAGAAACTTCTTAATCTAATGTAATCCCACCTGTCTGTTTTGGGGATTATTGCCTGTGCTTTGGGGGGGTCTTGCTTAAGAAGTCTTTATCTACTCCAGTGACTCACAGTTTTCCCAGTGTTTTCCACTAGTAGTTTTATAGTTTGCAGTCTTAGGTTAAGATCTTTGATCCACTTTGAGTTGATTTTTGTTAATGGTGACAGATAGGGTTCAGATTCACTTTTTTGCAGGTGAATACCCAGTTTTTCCTTTTTAAAGCTAAATAATACTCCATTCTATACAACATTCCATTTATCTGCTTATCAGTCAATGGACAATTGGGTTTTTTCCTACTTTCTGCCTTTTGTGAAAGTGCTTTTATGAACGTTGGTGTACAAGTATCTGTTCAAGTCCCTGTTTTCCAAATGGAATTGCAGGGTTATTAGGTAATTCTGTTGAATTAAAAAAAAAAAAAACTGTCATACTCTTTCAGAGTGACTGTATGTATCATTTTAGATTCTGAGCAGCAATTCACGAGGTTCCAGTTTTTCCACATTCTTGTCAAGACTTAGGTTTTGTTATTTTGATAACAGCCATCCTAGTAAATATAAAGTGGTATCTCATTGTGTGTGTGTGTGTGTGTGTGTGTGTGTGTGTTTAAAGAGGTTTTTGTCATAGGGTGCATGAGTTTGCTAGAGAAAGATAGAGACAGTAAGAGGGAAAGTGAGAATTTACTCTCCATGGGGGATGGCCACAACACAGTCCCTTTTCCTCCATCCTCCTGGGATCTTTGGCAAGCACGCACATGCAACCGTCATGAGTTTCAAGCCACTGGATCCAGAACTTGAACCACAGTCATCTATATGGGAATCCAGAATGTAACCACCAGGCTATCTGCTGCCCCCTCCCTGTGGTTTTTGATTGGCATTTCCTAATGACTAGTGAGTTGACCATATTTTCATGTCTTATGGCCATTATCTTCTGTGGAGAAATGTCTACATTTATGCTTTGTCCATTTTGTAATTGGGTTGTTTGTGTTTCTTTTTTTCAGTTGTAGGAGTTCTTTATATATTCTGAATATTAATCTCTTACAAGATATATGGTTTGGGGGGACCAGCAGTTAGCATAACGACTATGTCGCTGTACTCCCACGTAGCTGACTGCAGTTCAAATCCCAGACCCGATGGCTTAAACTCATGGGGCTGGTAGGTGGCATCGTGGTTAAGGGTGCTGGACTCCCATATGGCTGACCATGGTTCGAGTCCCGGACCTGGCAGCTTGCTTTCTCCCTTTCTCTCTCTCTCTCTCACTCTATCCCTCTCTGGTCAAATTAAAATAAATAAAGTTAAATAAAATAATTCTTTAAAAAAAAAAAAA